CAGAATCATCCTGTAGTTCATGAAACACGGCAAGGAAACAACTGAGCAGCGTTCGGGTCGTCCTGGTCCATCGGAGAGGACAAAAAGGGCTGTCAAGAGGAGCTTCGAAATGGATCCCAGATTAACGACTGCAGAAGTGGCCAAAGTTGGTGGGATGAGCCCGAAATCCGTTCAACGGATTCTCCACAGATTGGGTTATCGTTGCAGAGCAGCTAGACGGAAGCCTTTATTAAGACCTGCCAACATAGTCAGACGAAAGAAGTTGGCAAGTGATATGATGACCAAGCCTCTGGACTTTTAGAAGACCGTATTGTTCTCAGTCGAATCAAGATTCGCTCAATTTTCGGACAGTGGAAGGATATGGGTCTGGAGAATGCTCACCAAGAGTTTTGGCTCAACAGATTGCAGCCAACTGTGAAGCATGGTGGTTTCAGCGTGATGGTTTGGGGAGCTGTTTGGGTTGGTGGGAGATCGAGCTTAGTGTAGTGCGTTGGCGACATAAATTTTGCGAAATACGTCGAAATATTGGAGGAAGGACTCTTGCCACTTTATTCCTCGGGTTTCGTGGACAAGAACACAACGTTGTTCCAGGAATATGGAGCACCGTGTCACACTGCTAGAAACACCCAAAAGTGGCAGGAAGAAAATGGTGTCCAGAAGTTGCCCTGGCCGAGCCAATCTCCTGACACGAACCCCATCGAAAATCTCTGGGTCATACTCGACCGGCAAGTCAATAAACAACCAAAAAGACCAACTTCGAAGAGCGATCTACTCCAAGTTTTGAAGCAAGAGTGGGCGAAAATCCCACAATCTAAAATTGACGAGATGATTATCACGATGCCCCAAAGAATCAACGAACTCCACGAAGCGAAAGGAAGATCTACTAGATATTAATTAAATTATAAATATATCAATTCATGTGAATATGACTGAACATTTTCATTTTTTGTGAAAGGTGGTGTCTATTTACTTGTGACCACTCAGTATATATATATGAGGAAGGCATATGTTTTAAATAGACAAATTATTTAAATAATGCTGTTATTGTATCATGCAGTTCGGCATGAATGAAACAAAACCTACTAAGCAGAATATTATATGGAGTTTCTGTATTTAGATTTAAAGTAAAGAAGTGTAAAACATGAAATGACTATCAACAAAATATATCACTGTACAAAATATTTTTTTTATATAAACACCTTGTCTTTGTAGGTAATAGATAACTTTACCTAATATCTCGAGTTCTTTTTCTTCATCGAACTCTTGATAAAGCGACTTTAAAAAATAGTGAATTTTTAAAATTATGGTATCAACTAGTGTAAAAATCAACTGTCTTCATTTGTCATTATTTCGCTCATTATTATTTTTTCTACTTCCATAATAGTATCTACTCCCTTCTACTCTTCTCCCGTAACGTATTAGCATAATGTTGGGTCAACTACCACCTATAACTTTTGGCTTAATTAGCGATTTTTAGCCACCTGTAGTGAGATAGTTGAAAAATGTATAATAGTTATAAAATAGTGAATATTTTAAATTATGGTATGAAGAAGCTTAAAACCAACTGTCTTTCAACATTTTTTTTTTACTCTCCACTAAAGTATTAACAAATTATCGGGTACAATACAGCCAATAACTAAGTTCAGTGGTGTTAATAGTTTATTTCCCTAGCGGGTACATTCTTCTTCGCTCATGATTGTCGATTTTTAAGCGCCTGTATTGAGATAGTTAGCAACGTATAATAGTTATAAAATAGTGAATTTTTAAATTTGTGACATCAAGAAGTGACATGTTTTTTTTGTTTTGTTTTTTGTAAATCTCTTGTGTGTATATTTGCTTAAATTGCATATCTATATATCGCCTGAAACCTGTAATTATTTTCTTTCGCGCATTGTGTGAGCTGTTGAGCATTGAAATCGAATGAAGTTTTAGCAGTAACTAATAAAGCTAATTGACGTAGATTATGTAGCAGGTAAACTCATGCTTCGCGTACAAAGCGTATTTAAACTTTAGACGTAATTATCGATTTTTGGGCGCCTGTTGGAAATTGTATTGAGATCTAATGATATTTTGTTATTTATAAGCCATGGAAAAGTAAAGAATTAACTTAAGATCCCGATCAGTCAGACCCCGCCCCCAAATTTACATTTTATTCGCCGGAAAAAAATAAAAATTTCAGAATCATTTTCTGCGCGGAAAAATATCATAAAAACTGGATAACACTGCCGTATGTAAAAAATTCAGCTGTTTCGAAATCAGTTTTTCCATTTTCGCGCGGCGCAAGTATGACGGAAGTTACGAGAAGGCCAGGACCATGTGAAGAAGCATAAATACAAAAAAAAGGAAACTGTAAAAGCTATGAAATGTGTTTACATTGTGAACCTCCAGCTATATGTACAGCAAAACATTGCCAAGTTATCTCCCAAAGTGGATTAGTGCAAAAGATCCAAAAGCCAGTAAAAAAAAAAGAGAGAGAGAGAAGGAAGAGGCAGTGCGTGATGTTCTTATGGAAATGTATGCTGGAGAGTGTTCCTTACAAGATTTGGACATTGGGATTGAAGACGTACTAGAAGAAAACCAGAAACATCTTTATTGTAATTAATTATGCATTGAAATTGATTAATAACATCATTGGGACTAAAATGACTCTAATATTTGCTAAAATCAAAGCATTCCGAATCTTTCCTTTGATTTTCTGGAAAGTCGGGAGGTAGACGATGTTTTCGCCTATTTCTCCGCGACGAGAAAGGATTCTTAAATTCTGAGAGTTACTCTCACCTTTTTAGACCATTCCGTACCTATTGCGCACTTTTCCCGTTTATTTTTGATACTTTTAAAAAAAAGTGCGCACTGCAGTTCCAAGGGTGGGTTTCTCGCTGACAGGGATATTTCCTGCATGTTTATGTTACTGAAGTAATTTTGTTAATATTATAAACGTCGTAGTTTTTGCACTCGTATGAACGTAAAAGTTCCACTGTACAACTACCCAATACTAATATTGGACTGACTGACACACAACATTATTCTTTTAATAAATTACATAGAGTTAACTCCCCCCCCCCCCAATACCAATGTGATTGTTCAATGAAATATATTTAACTATTTGTCTTTTATCTAAATTGTATTCCCTTATTTACCTTCAGATAAGTTATCACATGAAGTAGAAGACAAATCGTAATTGGTATTTAATACACTGTGAAACAGCTGTATTTTTTTAGTACTCACCTGCCTGTAAGATCCTAAAACAGAATGATATAATGCTTCAGCACTGAAACATTACAACTACATTAATAAAACAAAGAAAGTTTCTTTCTTTGACTTTCAAAGTCTATGGATTTGTGTGTATAAATATCATTTGTTTTATAGTTTATAGTTCTGAGTCATTTAAAAAATTGCATGATTAGTAATCAGTTATGGAAAGATAAAGAAATAAATGTAATTAAAATTTTGAGTTTTTCTAAAGTTAAAACTCACTCTTTATTCCATTCTTTCTTATCCTATGACTTGTCTATTTCAGTATGAAAATGATGAGAAAACCCAGAAGAAAGAGGATTCGGAATTTTTAAAGATACATGCCAAAGTTCGTGCACAGATGATTTTGTAGGATTGTGTTTGTAGGTTGTGTATATAAAGCAGCAATCTGACTGTCAATAGTGATGAAGTCATTCATGTGGAATTGTATAAACCCATATTCAAGTGAAAAATATGGATAGTGGAAGTAATGAAAGTTCCCATTATCAGTTTGTTCATTTGTGTGTATTTTAAAAGACTTTGTATTATGTATTACAGCTAGGAAGGAGGAATCCCACTGTATGTACTAATAAAAATGTGCCTTAGAGTTGCTTTGTATCACAGTATGCTTGTCAGTAAACATACCTTTAATAACTGTGTATAAAATGGTTGTTTTGTGTTAAAATAGTCCTACATAATCTTATTATTTAATACAACTAGTAGACTATTCCAACTGAAACTTCAAATATCCTTTGGATAGTTCACTGTATTTATGCTGTTTGTTTTTTCTCCAAAACACAATCTAAAATCCTATATAAAGGCCTCAAACATAAAAATTGGATCCACAGATAGCAGACCAATGTTGAGCCAACATTGTCTGGTGATTGGTTTTAGAACATTGTTGATATTGATAAAACTACATAGACCCAAAATCAGATCTCTGACAAGTAAATGACTATTGTGTAGCTGATAAGAGTTAATAAAAGATCAAAACTTGGCCAGTGTGTTAGTTTGTCTTTGGACCCATGCTTTGGTAATATCAGTCCAAGAAATTAAAGAATACCTAATTAAAATATCAGTTTATTAATCAGTATTAGATAAGCAATTAAGTGTAAAGGGGTATAAATCTATGTATGTGAAGTGTTTTATGAAAAAAAATGTCTTTTTTTTCCTCCTCTTCTTTTTATCATTATTCTTACAATACTTTCATCTTACCAAGTAACACAGAGTATAAAACAAAAATATAGAACTTTGAAAAATGACTGTATGAGTTTGAAGCACGAGAAGTAATAAGGTCATTAATTTAAACCTCCTAGCTGTTCTAGAATATTATCTAGAATACAATTAATTAACACTTTTCGTTTACAGTTAATTTTAGAGCTTACTGTTTTTGCCACTCCAATGTCTTGGTCTATGGAGTGTATGTGCCAGCTTTTAAGTTAATGAATTTGCACTACTACAGACTAAATTAACATATGGACTGGGCAGTAAAGGTTGTCACAAGATATTATTAGTAGTATATAATGTTTACGTTTAAGATCACCTTGACTTGACAACATATATTCACAGTGGGTGTGAATTATCCCTATGCTAGAGCTCTGGATTTTAGAGCTGGCAAGCAAGGTTCGAATCTGTGCAATACTACAAAGCATTTTCATGCTCTTGGGCTGTGGATGAGTTGTAAGAAGTAAGATCAAATCCCATTATTCAGTCTGATAAAAGTAAACCTTGAGTAGCTATGCATGAAGTTCAACACAAAAAATACTAGGTAACATTTTATTTACATTTCACCAAATGGCAGCATTCCATAAATGTTTAATAACCATACAATATCCAGCAAAAAGGATCAACGTTAGTCTAACAGTTAAAAGTTTGGGTTAATATTAAACCAACCTTGATCTACTGTCTGGGTAATTAATATTAATATTAACATGATGGCTTTATGTTATCTATTGCCATTTAGCCATTACTCTCTCAATGCTGGACTGATGAGTAAAAAAAAAAACATGATTCACATTGGTCCAACATTTACATGCTATCTGGGTCATTTAATATTTAAGACTTTTATATTTTGTTTTTTTCCTCCAAAAATGTAAATATATTTTTTTCCTGTTAAGGCATATTCATTTTAAAATTTTGAATTGTGTTAATGAACCAATAATTAGATTCTTTAAAATTAACTTGAGAAAACTTTTGTATAGGTGGCATGGCTAACCAAACCCAAATGCTAATTTTATGTATTTCTGAATTATTTTTTAAATTTTTTCATCTTATTAACAGAAATTAATAGTATCCATCTCTTTGTACATCATTGAATCACTGTTTTATATGAATATTTACTCTTCAGTTCATCAAAGTTTATGTTATTCTAGAAAATACATAGAACTGCAAAATAAGATGTTTTAGTGGCATCCATAAAGTTTACATCTTTACAACAGTATTAATAGTGTTAAAAATGTGAAAATACATATTTTTTCAATAAAACTTAAAAGTGTTGTATTAATTTGATTAAGTCATTTCATTCTATTTGTAGTATACATATTCTATAGTTTGTATCTTAAGTTAGTTTGAAAATTTCCCTTGTGATTATGTTTATATTATGTCAGCCAGTTTAATTTTGCTAACCCTAGAAGTGATAAATAGCTATCACATATTGCTAGCCTTAACCTTCAGAACATTCAACTTTTTCATCAATCTTGTATTTCATACATCATATGATTAGCTCTTCCCTAAATAGGTGTAACTTGTATTTCAAACTTTCAGATGCCTGTAGAACAGAAATTTGTGGCCACTAGACCACAGTTGAATTTGTTATTTTTCTGATGCTGATAGTAAAATGATAAAAACATCCTTAAAAATAACGTTGTGGAGCATTTATATAGGAGATGTAAAGAAATTGGTATATGTACTCTATAAGTGTAGAATGTAGGAAAATGACAATGGAAAATATTCAATCGGAAAAAAAGAAGAAAACTGCACAAACAGGTAAAAAAGTCAAAAAGTATTTTAGAAAACAGTAACAATAACAGCTAAGCCAAGCCTAAGCCAATTATTGAAACAATGTAAACCGAGTTAATAATTAAGCTGTTATTAATACAGTTTTCTAATCATTGGCTTCCCCTTATAGACTTCCCATTATTGTTCAACGCTTGCTGTTAGTATTAAATCCTACTGCATAGGACTTTTTTTTTTTACTTTTTACGTGTTTGTGTAATTTTCTTTATTTTACAGGGTTTACGCATGTATATAATAATAAAAAAGTATAAGGCTTCTTTCGGAATTTGTCATTTTATACCATTCCTAAAATGTAGGATTTACTTTTTTTTTACCTGTTTGTGTCATTTTCTTTGTCTTTTTCCCGGTTGTCCTTATTACTACCACTGGTAAGCTTTGTTCATTGCTATCAATAACTTCCCCCCAAAAAATCTAATTTTATAAACACATATAAACAAAATAAATTTAGAAGTGATAAAATATCATAACTCAGTATAAATTATTGTATTAATTATATCATAATAAGACCAATAATATTTTTTTCTTATCAAATCTTCTTCAACTGCATGGCGTTACATGGGTTTTCAATAGAAATACTATTGTTGTGACGTGTTCTTTTCTTCGCAGTTTCTTTTCAATTATCTGGAGAAAATAATTCAAAGTCCTGTCCATGTAATAATCACGAATTCTTTTATTTCTTCCTTTAATGTGTCTACCAGCATAAACATTTGTACATTGTCATAAATTTTTGTAGGTTTTTGTTATGACCTTCACACCTTTCTGTACGACACTGAGACTAACGTAAAATAATGATCCTACACACATGACTTTTCGGCTGCAATGAAAACATACTGAAAAAACAAGGAGAGTGTTAATTGTTTTTTTTTGTTTTAATCAGATCTTCCTTTATTGCATGGCGCTACATGCTTTTCCATTAAGTAGAATATAACAGCATTTGAACCACATACTTTGTGTGTTGCACGTTGCTGCCAATGAGCCCCCTAATTCCTATTTCCTTATTTGTGTATTTAAGTTTTTCATAATTTCAGTAATTCTTTTTCCCGAATTCTCAATTAATACTAAAACATTCTGAAATTTTCCCCGCTCAAGAATATCAACTTTCAGGTTGTTTGAATTTACAATACAAAAACCCTTGGTTTGAAACTATATCAGTCTTTTAAGAGATGTGATGCATAGATACTATATGCTATAAGATTAATTAAATGATGTGGTTTATTTATTTATCTATCGCTACAAACAATAGCTGAATTAGGTTCATTAGATTTACCTGACTGTGGCATATTTTAGGATTCTTAAAAAATATAATGTAATATAACTCTGTCCCGACTGGGTCCAACTCGCTGCTCTCTCTCTACAATGCAAGGACATTCAAAACTTCACATACCACCCAATCTTCTTTATTAAATGATCTACTTAGTTCAAGTTGATGAAATGCTTATATTATTTACCACGAATAAAAAAATAATGTCCTGTATAGACTTGTTCAGTCATTACTTGTAATATTGCTAAATAAGAGGCTTTATTGACAAAGGAGTGTGGGATAACATGATATAATATTGTTCCTTAAAGTAAGTAATCCTTCAAAATACTATATATTTTTTTTAATATTGCTGTGCTTATAAACCATTTATTGTAACGTATTATAATACGTCACTATACATGATAGCAGAAATGGCTTAAAAGTGTCCATGTAGTATTTGAAGGAAAACGGTATAATTAATATTCTGAAGTTCTGTTGAATATTGGTTTATTACGTTTTATGATGTTATCAATTTATATGTGATATAGTTTGTGAAAATCACTGTAGAAGCAATATATTTACCATGTAAACTTTTGAATCCTACTTGAAATAAAAAAATACTTGTTCAAATATGTCTTTAGTCCAGCTCCTCAGTATATCAGTCACTCTTTTTTTTGCGTTTTTTAGATATCCAATAAAAGCTTGATTAAAATTGGAACATAGTCAAATTGTTTCAATTCAAAAACTTAAGAGACAAAGACTTTAAGACTAATTTTTTGGCTGATTTAGTGCTTTGTGACAAAAACAATACAATTTCGCTATGTTTTCCTTTTCCAACTTTATTTAATTACCACTCACTTATAGTTCACTAGCAGTGAAATTTTGTTTATAAAATATTGTATCATAAACTCAAAATTGTATGTATGTCTTTTTCTCATGGACTGGATCATGACTAGAAAATCATAGTATCCATGCCACATCAAGCCTGCATTTACTTTATACTATACATTCATAACCAAAACATTGTTTAAAAGATGGTGTGTCAATTTCAGTTGTTGAAAGTGTCTTGCTAGCAAACACTACTGGATTAACTATTTACTTAAGATGGTTGTTAGAGCACTCGCCTGGTGTTCAAGAGGTCTCGAATCTAAATCGAGGCTAAAGAAATAATAAAACTTCAAATTGCCACTGGATAAACTGGTGGCCAACGTGGAGCCTTCTTTGCCATAATGGAAGAATGTGGCAGATTTAGTTATTGAAAAGTGTCTTACTGTCTAAGCACTTTAGCGCCGTTGGTAAAATACTCGTCTGGTGTACAACTTACAAGTAGGTTTGGTTTCGATCTCGAGCTG